CCTGAGGCGAAAGAATGAAAACAGGGACAAATAATGCACCCTTGTTCCTAGCACATGCTCGTCTAGAGATCAGCTCAGCAATTCAAACCTGCTTTACGCTTATTTAATTTTGAAAAGTAAACAGGTTTATTGTGAGTCCTAACAACCAGGTTCTTTACTTTGGAGAAAAGGGTTTAATTACTGAGGAATGAGGAAAGGCTGGAGTGGACACTAATGATACTACAGCCAGAGATACCATTAAAACGTATGATAGACATATGATTTACACATAGAGGGTCATAAAATTATACAGAAATGGGGGAATCTCCACTGGAAGGGTGAGAAATAAATGATCCCTCATCTGATGAGCACATGCAGAATCGAGACCTTGATTGTGTGTGTGTGTGTGTGTGTGTGTGTGTGTGTGTGTGTGTGTGTGTGTGTGTTCATGTTCCTGTATATCTGGGTACCTAGATGCTCATGTAAGAACAGAGGAAAACTTTGCATTATCCTCAGGAATATTGTTTACCTACCTCCATTGAGACAGCATCTCACAAATTAGGCTAGACTGGCTGGCCAGCAAATCCCAGCAATCCCCTGTCTCTGCCTCCACACTGCTATGATTCCAAGTGTGTGCCACCACATCTGGTATTTTTATGTGAGTTTGGGGTCTTGAACTCAGGTTCTCATGTTTGTAAGTGCCCAAGTTCTGGGCCAGGAAAATGCAGATTAACTTAAAAGTGAAGAGAAACAGCCAGGCCACAGCAGGTGGAACAGCCCAATGGTCACAGCAGAACACGCACGCACACACATGCACAACTTGGTTAACAAACCAGAACTGAGTATAAGGAATTCCAATTAACAAATGGAAAGATGATGGAAACGGAACACACTCAACAGTCGTTTCTTAAGGGAGTCACGGGGTTGCTGAGTCATTGATGATGGTCTGATGAGGTCATTTCCCTGATCTTAAAAGTCTTGCCCACCATAAGACAAGTACTAAACACAAAGAGAAAAACATCTTTATGGTAGAAAAGCCTGGCATATGCCAACTAAGTATGCCACATTAACTTGACGGACTCTCACTTATATGATCTGATTTGTCAGTTTCTGCCAAGAGGCTGAGGGCTGGCACTGTTAAAGCAATTTATGTCAAAAGGTTTGAAGAAGGCACAAAGGCACACGCCCTTATGTAAACCACAGACTGTGTACAATCTTCAAGAGACTAAATCAAGCCGGGCGTGCACTACCACCACACGCCTTTAATCCCAGCACTCTGGAGGCAGAGGCAGGTGAGATCTCTGTGAGTTCAAGGCCAGCCTTGGTCTAACAAAGATACACAGAAAAACCCTGTCTCGAAAAGCCCATATATATATATGAACAAAAATTGACACAGGTAAAAGACCACAGCTCTCAGTTACCTAGACGTACCACCCACAACTCAAATACTTTGATTTTGAAACAGTCTTGTGTAGCCTTGGCTGGCTTTGAACTTCCAGCATCCTCCTGTCTCAGTCTTCTGAGGAGGTCCGGGTTTATAGGCATGCCAACATGCTCAGCATCTCCAGCACTTGTTTCATTCTTCATCTCTCCTCTCCTCAAATATTTAAAATAGAGACAATGTATGCCTTCACAGGAATTCCTGATTTGTTTGAAAATATATATATATACATATATATACATATACATATAATATATATATATATTCATATTTGCCTGTAGTGCTATCACTGTAAGTGGGAGACCAGCAGTAGCTTCACAGAAGGTGATCAGCTGGGATGGAGAAGAAGGAAGTGGAGAGGAAGAGGCAGTGTTCAGACATTGGTGTAATACACACAGAATGGAGAACACTCAGATCTGTACAACATACTGGGCCCAGGGCAATTAGCACTGCACACAGAGAACTCCCATGAGCCTAGCATATGGGATACCTGGAAGAGCAGCAGCTTGAGAGGGCTAGACTAATTTAGATCTGGACAAATTAAGAGTTGCCTGTCTTCATCACTGTTCTATTGCTATGAAGAGACACCACGACTGAGGCAACCATTGTAAGAGAAAGCATTTAACTGGGGACTTGCTTACCACAGCTCTGAGGGTTAGTCATCACAGCAGGAAGCATGATGGCCTGCAGGCAGACCTTGGGGCAGTAGCACAGAACACATCACAATCCTTGGGCAAAGAGACAGACTCTGGGTTTGGCATGGGATTTTGGAACCTCAAAGCCCACTCTCCTTGGTGACTAAGCATTTAAACATATGAGTCTATGGAGGCCATTCTTTTTTGTTTGTTTGTTTGTTTGTTGTGAGACAGGGTTTCTCTGTGGCTTTGGAAGCTGTCCTGGAACTCCCTCTTGTAGACCAGGCTAGCCTCAAACTCACAGAGATCCTCCTGCCTCTGCCTCCCGAGTGTTGGGACTAAAGTCATGAGCCACCAACGCCTGGCTTTATGGAGGCCATTCTTATTAAAGCAGCTACACTGCCCATTAGACAATGGTATGAAGTTATCAAGTAGGCAAGTACAAACAGGTGTTGAGGAAGAATCTGAAGATCTCCAGTCATCCTGTGTACAAATCATGATCGAAGCCACACAAGATGGACCTGTTATTACAACCTGATGAACATCAGGCTACCAGAACAGCCAGAGGGAAAATTCTAACCCACCCATGGGAACACAAGCACACACTGCAATGAATTTGAATTGCCTACTGGCCAAATCCAGTGAAATATTTCAATTCTCCTGTTCAGGCTAGACGCTCTGCACTGAAATTCACAGAGCTATGCAGACAAACACTGTGGTCCACGAGGGCTTTTCAGACACTGTACAATAATAATATTCTCATTGTTAATAAGCTCCAACTTTATAAAAACATATCTGGCAGACAGTGGCACCCCCGCATAATCCTGGACCTCAAGGCACCTGCTACTAAAAGTCTGACCAAGATACAATTTTTCTTACTTATTTTATAATGCTGGCTTTTACCAGCACAATGCTGAGTCAAGAGTTCACTCTCGCCAGGCATTGGTGGTGCACACCTTTAGTCCCAGTACTCGGGAGGCAGAGGCAGGCGGATCTCTGTGAGTTCAAGGTCAGCCTGGTCTACAGAGCAAGTGCCAGGTCAGGCTCCAAAGCTACACAGAGAAACCCTGTCTCGAAAAACCAAACAACAAAAAAAAGTTCACTCTTGATTTTAATAGTCAATAGTGCTCCATCTCCAGGGGCAGATAGGTTTGGTTACTTAAACCAGGGGAAAGAAATCATAAATACAAATAACCAAATGGACAAACTACTTGGAAAAGTTGACTCCCCTTATGTGGAAATGCCTCACAAATCAAGGAATAAAAAATAAGCAAAGTTTACAGAAAACCAATTATAAATACAAATGGTCAGAATCTACACAAACCTACATTTAATTCCATACAGTAAAGAAATCCAAATTAAATAAAAACAAAGATTTACTTTTCAACCAACCAGTCTCCAAACTGAGCTATTTTGTTTTGACAAAAGCCAAAGTGTTACTTTTTATTCATCAAATTGAAAAATCAAATTTGCTTTTCTATTGCCATGATAAAAAACAAACAAACAAACAAACAAACAAACCACTCTGACCAAAAGCAACTTAAGGGAGGGTTCATTTGGTTTCTGCTTCCCGGTCACAGACCATCATCACTGAGGGAAGTCAGGCCAGAACTCAAGCAGGACTTAAGCTGAAATCACACTGCTTGCTGGCTTGCTTTCTGGCTCATGCCCTAGCTTTCTTATAAAACCCAGAACCACCTGCATAGGGATGGTGTCACCCACAGTGGCTAGGCCATCCGACATCAATTATCAATTCAAGACCATCTGTCACAGATATGGTCACAAACCAATACGATTTAGGCAATTCCTTGAGGTTTCCTCTTCCTGAGTGACTCTAGGCTGTGTCAAGTTGACAATAAAAACCAGTTTTTAATATCTTAATATTACTTGGAAAAAAGAAATGAGCTCTTCCATAGACTGATGGAAGAGGAAGTGGCTCAGCTTTTGCAGTGCATGCTGGTCACATATGAATATTTTAATGTGTTTGGGTTCTGAGCCACATTTAGAAATTAGTGTCAAGTCAGTAACTACACAGGTGCACCACACTTCATTTACATAATGCTGCTGTTGCTGATCACTGCAGGGACTCAAAAACCTCAACTATGGACCAGAAACTGAAAAACGATGATTCTGAAACTGAATGAAGAAATATTTGGAAGCCAGAAAAAAATGTTGCTGAGACCTTTATTCTCTTAAAGTCTTTTTTTGTTTTGGCATGGAAAAATGCTTATAATACCACAACATATACAGAATGACTCCCTGATATTTATGCATACAAGCCATAGGAAGAATTATTTAAGTTTTAAAAACTAATGTTCTATTTGTATGGGGAAAAAAACAGGCAAGTTTCATTATATGTTTATGTGATTTTAGTATTATGTGTATTTACTTTGTCATGGAGACCATATTCAGTTGAAAAGAAATAAAGAACTCTGAAAGAGTGGGACTAGGGGGCCCAGAACTAACAGTATGTGCTAAAGGTCTTCCCAAATAGGGGAGAGGGCTAAGGAGTGAGAGTGACCTAGATCTCATTGGTGCCACAAAAATGCTCTGTCATGAAGCTACAGGCCCAGCCCTTCCCCATTCTAAAATCCAATCAGATAATAAGACAATACTTCTTCTAGGGCAGTGGTTCTCACCCTTCCTAATACAGTTCCTTATGCTGTGGTAGTTCCTAATACCTTCTTCAACACAGTTCATGTTGTGGTGACCCCCAACCATAAAATCATTTTATTGCTCCTTCATAACTTTAATTTTACTACTTTTACGAATCATAATGCAAATATCTGATAGGCAGGATATCTGATATGTGACCCCCACAAAGGGGTCACTACCCATAGGTTAGGAACTGTTGGTCTAAATGCTTATAAAAAACACACACAAATATTTGATTAGTATCTTAACTCTCAGATCACATATGGTGGAAAAAAATAACACGGAATTACCTCTCCTATGAAGACAACTATAACGCAGTCCAGCTTCTCTTCAGGATACAGATTATCAATAAGGGAATGAAGGGTTTCTATGAGGTAAGATTTAACTTCTCTCTTCACGGTAGGAATTCCCATTACTATTGAAACTGGGGGAAAAAAAGATACAGTAATTATGTAAAATAATTTTACAATGACAATATAGATAAATGTCTAGGATTAACTGAGGAATTCAATTTTACAAAGAAAAAGACTAAAGGGGAACATCTATAATTCTCTTCCGCACGGCTAGGGCAGGCGTATGTGCAAGCACCCAGCAAATAAGTGATAATAAGACTAAACCTCATACCAGAACAAACAGCTGCAAACAGCACGCTGTCTACGCCACAAGTAGGGTGAGAAACACTACACATCTGATGCACAATGAATGTCTTGTATTATCAGCAGCTCGGGGGAACATGCAGGCAAAGCAACACCAGGCAAATGCAAGTTGGGGACAAGTCACAAAATAACCAACCAACACTCATTACAGTGTCAAGAACTACCCTAGACAGAAAAGACTAAGAAAAAAATGATGAAGTAATGACGTAAGGGAACAAGGGATTCTAAGAACAGGAAAATGAGCATAGTAAGATCGCGAGCGGGATCTATGATTGATTAGCAGTACAGCATCAATGTGAACTCCCTGGTTGGGGTCCCTGTGTTGTGAGTATGGGTGATGGGAATATTTGAGGGTACTGGGTTCTCATCTGGTAGAGGGAGCTTTGTGAACTACTGGTTGTGTACAACCCTTAAAAAGTTCCAAAATTATAGTTTCTACTACACTGCTTGTTATACATGCAAACTTACTCCAGCATGGCTAATGCATTAGGGAACAATTTGGATGTAATATGGTGTTGTTCTTTTGTTTAAGTTAAAGACAAGAGCTATGGAGCACGAACACGAGATACATTAACCATGGAGTTTATTAAAGGGGGGGAGAGGGAGAAGAGAGAGAGAGAGAGACGAAAGGGAGACAGGGAGGGAGGGAGGGAGGAAGGGAGCAAAGAGGGCAAGAGCGAGTAAGAGGGCAGGGGTCTGTCTTTTAAAGGGGTCCTTTGCACCTGTGTGCAGACTAGTTCTCATGGAACCCTGGGCTGACCAGAGTACTGCCTGAGTGCATTCTGCCAGGTAACAGGGGCAGGCCAGTATAATGCCTGAATCCTTACAATATGAACTTCACATTTGCTTATGTGTAATTTCTTCTCTGAGACACACAGTAGGTGGACATTGGACAAATGAACCCAGCTAAGCCAAGTTTAGAAAAATGAACTGAACAGTGTGGGAAAACACAAAACGCACACAACTTAAACATTTACCAGCTGCTATGAAGACAACCATTGGCACCATCCACACAGGGTAAATCTGATTTCAGACAACTCATCCGGTACCACTCACAACAGCCTACAGGCTGGAGTCGTCCTGCTATCAACTCTCTCAGGAGAGCCTCCTGGGGCCCTTAAGCAGAGTACTGTATTTACTGTAGTTAACGTGTCATTTTTTTTAATCATGTGCAACCTTATAGGTTCTTCTTCATGTGTAACTGATAGAGTTCAGCACCGTGATCCTAACCCATTTTTTTCTCATTTTACTACACAATTTTATCCAGCTCAGTGATTTGAGGGATTCCACAGACCTGAATGTATTCCAAAGTCTTTTTTGAAAAAGTCTATCTTAAAGCCTTAAGGCATTAGTATTCTAAGTATTACACATACACCACAGCAAATGCTAAAAACAATCCTAAACCATGCATGCTGCCACACACCTTTAATCCCAGTACTCGGGAGACAGAGGCAGGCAGATCTCTGTGAGTCTGAGGCCAGCCTGGTCCTAGAAAAGCCAGGACTACATAGAGAATCCCTGTCTCAAGCAAAACAAAAATGAATCTTAACCATGGAACCATTTACTGAAGAGACTAAAAAATACTTATAATTCTAAAGCTGAGAAGAAGGCTTAAAGACAATGAATGGATCTACCTTTACTGTTTGTTCTGCAAGTGACAATACCAAGGAGCAGGTGGCAGAATAACTTTCCCTAAGGCAGCATCTCTCCCACTCTAAAGATAACAGTTGTCAGTGCCTCAGAGATGTATTCTACTTGTTCTGCACCTATTATATGCAAGGCAATATTCTAGGGGTTAGGCATAAAACAGGAAACAACTTAAATAATGCCTTTGCTTTCATGAGACTTATGAGAGCTGAGGAAGGACACTCCAGAAGAGGGAGCAGCAGGATTCTGAAGACACGATCTTGACATAATCAAGATCTAGCAGGATCAGAATAGATCTAAGGCAGAAATAGCCTCCGTGGAGAGAATCAGGGGTCAGGTCAAGCATACCAAACGGAGTTCAACTCTGAGCAGAAGAGACAGTCATTGGGAGGTTATGAGCCAGGAAGTCACATTCCAAATTCTAAAACTTACTTCCTTCATGCCAGAACAAAGTAAGTAGAAACTATCTAAATTTAGCATTCCCATTCTTCAATCACTCAGCCTACCTTCAGTTATAACTAAGCTACATTCTGCTTTTAGCATCCACTGTTAGCTTAGCCTTTCTTGTTTCCTGAAGATGTGATGTTGGTAAGTTGGCTCTTCATTCTTCTGTCTTCCCAGCTTTATTTTCCTCTTTTACTGGACATTAGTTGCTAGTAAACTTTTGAGGCTCAGTCCTAAACCCTGGGTGATCTCATTCATACACACTTCTTCAACAACTACTTATTCATGAATGACTCACAGCCTTGAACCTAACTCGAGAGTTCCCCTCTGAGTCCTATATTCAAATAGCCAAATGCATGGTTGACATCTCCACGTCAGCATCTCAAAGTTTCCTCAAAACTTAATTTGCCTAAATTTAGCTCTTCTTCTTCTTCTTCTTTTGAATACTATTGCTTCGAGCTGGAGAGAAGGCCCCATGGCTAATAATAAGTGCTGGCTTGCAGAGGCTCTGACTTTGGTTCCCAGCACCCACAGCAGGTGGCTCACAGTGGTCTCCAGGGGATCTCACCTTAGACCTCCCTGGGTACCACAGCCGCAGGCACATATCCCATACACATGCATTACATAGTTAAACTACAATAAAAGCAAGTCTTAAAAACCAGTGCTGTACATGAAAATGTTTTTCTTCCCCACAAGAAAGTCTTATTTGATGTGTTGAAGAGTTCATGAATCAGGCCCTCTCCCTCTAAAGAAAGGTGACAGAGGACTTCTTCCTGAGGAAGAAGTTGAGGAAGACTATGGAGCAATGGCTTTGAAAATTTCCAACTGGTTGAATTAAATTCTGCTAATTAAATTTTTCTTTCCCCAAAAAAAAAAAAAAAAAAAAAAAAAAAACAGTGCTGAAGAACATGCTTCACCCTCTTGGATTACAGGAACGTGTCCACCACATGTCCAGTTATCCCATCTGGAATCTTAGACTTCTCCACGGCCATTCCCTCAAGCCCAGCCCCAATCAGTCCCTCCGCCCTCTCCTAAGTACTTGAAAATCATCCAGACACCTCCAAAACCACCCACACTGCAAGTTCACCCTGTCTCAAGGAGATAACTAAAAGCCTACTATTTGTTTTTGTATTTTTGCTTTTAAATTTATTTATATTTCATGTACATTGGTTCCTCGCCTACATGTATGTCTGTGTGAGGGTGTCAGATTGCCTGGGGCTGGAGTTACAGACAGCCGTGAGCTGCTAGGTGGGTGATGAGAATTGAACCAATAGAAAAAGCCAGTGCTCTTAACCACTGAGCCATCTTTGGCCCCAAAAGCCTATTTGTTTTCCCACTGTTTCTTTGTGAAGACTAGCTGGCCTTCAAATTGCAGTCCTCTTCCTCAATACCAAGTGCTGGGCTCGTAGGCCCATGTACTATGTATGGCCAACTTAAAATAGTTCATCTGGCTCTCACAACTGCTCCTCTGCCCACACCCTCAAAACACTCTCCCACTGTAGCAAACATGATTTTTGTAAACTTTAATCTTAACCTATCTGTAAACCTTTAGAGCAGTGGTTCTCAACCTTCCTAATGCTGAGACCTTTTAGGACAGCTCCTCATGCTGTGGTGATCCCCCAACCATAAAATTATTTTCATTGCTACTTCATAACTATAATCTTGCTATTGTTATGAGTCGTAATGTAAAATATATGATATGCAGGATATCTGACATGCAACCCCTGTGAAAGTGTTATTGGGCCACAAAAGGGGTCGTGATGAAGAGGCCAGCTCCCCATTTCGGCAGCCATAACCTTGCCTTGGTCACTTAGAGGTCAGATGCCTGCCTCGTGACAAGGAACCAATCAGAAGTTAGCTGGTGGTGCTATGCTTTATGGCTCTGGGTGTGCTTTACAGACAAGTGCACAGCAAGGACGCGCAGAGCATAGCAACCCCCCTGGGAGTGCCTATGGGCCATAACAACCAGTTGGCCAATCAACACAGGGCAAACCCTCCAAGCCTGGAGGCACACCAATCCTGAGCCTATGCGTACCCCTAGACACTCCCCTTACGCTGCCCTATAAAGATCTGTACCCACCGGCTTCGAACTGTCTTTGCTAGCCATCCGACATGACGGGTGGATCAAAGACCCAAGCTAACATGGGGTTAGCTCGTTAAACTACAATAAAGCCTCATGCAATTTGCATCAAGCTTTCGCCTCCATTCTGTGATTGGGGTGGCCGAGGTCCTGGGCTAAGATCCTGGAAGCCTGAGCTTTCCAGGGGGTCTTACAGTGACTGCTGCTTTAGTGGCTTCCTACTAATGCTAAAAAACCAAAACCCCGTAACTGATCTCGAATTCCCTACAGTCTTTAGCTTTATATAACATCTCTAGCTTCCTTTGGCTTGATATGGTTTGCCTACCCACCCATTTCAGTTACATTGGTCTTCATCTATTTTCTGGAATATTTCATGCTCCCTTCCACCACAGGGCCCTTCAAATGCTCTTGTTTTCTCTCATCGTGGTGGAAAGCATAATGACTTCAAGATGCCCAGACCCTAATACCTGAAACCCATGAATGAGTTACCTTACTCCTGATGCAAGGGGCTTTGTTGGTGGGACTACGTTAAGCACCTTGACATGGGAAGATTTGTGGGCAGGACTAAGTCAAGCATGGAAGGGAAAGGTTATTATGGATTGCCTGATATGCTCAGTGAAACCAAAGAGGGCTTTACAAAAAATAACGGAAAAGGGTCAGAGTGAGCAGAGGAGGTAAAGCAACAAAAAGAAGAGGCTCCAGGGAGAAATATGAAGATACTATCCTTTGAAGATAAGGGAGGGAGCCACAATGGAATATAGGCAAACTGTTGAAACTAGAAAAGGACAGGAAATCAATCTACCCCTATGCTCTGAGAAGCACGTGATGCCCTTGAAGAGAACCTGGGTTCTATTCCCAGAAACCACATGGTGGCTAACAACCATTTATAATTCCAGTTCCAGGGGACCCAACACCCTCTTCTGACTACCTTCTACGGGCAGCATTCCTTGTATCACATGGGACATAATCATATAGCAAATTAATCTAAAAAAAAAAATAACACAAAAATGAAATTCAAACCTGAAAGGATGATATACACCTGTAATCCCAGCTACGCAAGAAGGTGAGGGAGAAGAAACTGTTTTGTTTTGGTTTTTTTGGTGGTGGTGGTGGTGGTAGTTTTTTTTTGTTGTTGTTGTTTTGTTTTTGTTTTTTTGAGACAGGGTTCTCTGTGTAGCTTTGGAGCCTATCCTGGCATTCACTCTATAGACCAGGCTGGCCTCGAATTCACAGAGATCTGCCTGCCTCTGCCTACTGAGTGCTGGAATTAAAGGTGTGCGCCACCAACACCTGGCTGGAACTGTGCTCTAAGGAAGCCTGGGCTTCATAGTGAAACCTCATTTTAAAATAAGTCCCCAAACAACCACAAAGGAAAATGAATTTCAATCTCTCAAGTAATTGCTTCACCAATTTTAATATTCTGGTCTCTATATTTTAAAACCTATGAAGAAAGTCAAATTAAATTGTCCAAGTTCAACTGAGTCAAAAGTTTTAAACTCAGGCAAAAGTGGAGAACTAAAAACATAAAGGAGCCACAAGATCCTATATGGAAATTCAAGGGCTATAATGGGCCAAGGAGAAAGCAGCAAATTCAAGTGTTATCACATGGAAAGCTCGTGAGTGACAGTGCCTCACTGTCTGTCTAGGGAAAAGTAAGGCAGACACGAGACAAACCCCATGGCAGGACTGTGAAGAGGCATCAATGCTGGGATAAGGCATAGGGGTGAAGGTCATCCCTCTACCTCCCCATTTTTAAAACAAAATGTACAAAGGTTTAAGCATGTATCTGCCTGAACTATATAAGTCTATTAAATCCCACTCTGACATATGGAGAAGAAATGCCCACAGCCTTTCAAAGAGCAGTTTAGACTGAGCCCCAAGGTGCTGTGTGGGGATTTGAGGGGAAAAATTTTTTTAATCCTTTGTCCTACTAGACTTGGTTCTAGTGGTCAAAATCACTTGCCAAATCACAGTTCAGATAACGGGCACACAGTGAAACGCACCTCCTGTTCTTCCATTGCCGATCTGCACCGCAGGCTGAAGGCTTCCTTCATTTTGCAATAAATGAGGCAAATGATAATAAATACTTGGCACTTGAAGGGATTTTTTGCTTGTCAATTCCTTTAGTAGCTTTATGGTATTATCTGAAACACAGAAAGACAATTAAGTGGTGGGAACCCCTTCCCTTACAGAAGCCTCTGATGGTCCCTCTTAAAAACTAGGGAACGCTTTCAAGAATGACAACTAAGCGGGCTCTAAATATGTCATCTTCATATGAAGTCAACAGCAAACACACCACTGAATTTCACTTTCTTGTCTTTAAGTTGTTGATAAACACAGCCCAGGTTGGCCTCGACTCTGCTACAAACCCATATTCTGCAACCCCAGGCACGTGCCACTGCTCCTGTCCGACTTTCATTTCCTTTATGCATTGCTATTTCATCTGACTTTTATATAGAAATTGTATCTCTCTAGAAAATTTAAGTGAAAAAATTAAACAGAAGTAGAGAATGCTCAGCGCATGCCAATCTTCAAGTGGTTTCAGTTTTCATCTAGGGGAACTAATGAGTCACTGAATAGGCTATGGACTAAAAACTTCTGTTAACTACACAATATTGCTTTAAATTTTCATGAAACTGAAATTTCACCTTCTAAACAAGGAAGTCAGCAGAAGGACTTGTGACCACAACACCACTAAAAATATGACAAGAGGGTTGAAGAGATGGATCAGCCATCAAAGGTACCTGCTGCTCTTCCAGAGGACAGGGTCCCAGCACCCAGTCCCAGGAGATCTGACACCCTCCTCAGGCTTCCTTGGGCACTGCACGCATGAGGTACACAGACATGCATGCAGAGAAAAAAACCACCTATATCAAACTCACATATATAGTATCATGAAATTAAAGCTGAACCTCACTGTAAAGAAATCAATGTTACAATACCCTATTCCCACCCAACTGTCAGCAACAGCTTGCAAGATGCTTAAATGTCAGTCATGGTGTAATTACTGTTCTAGAGATTCAGCAGAATCGAAGGCCCTGAAAACAGTCTGTCCTGTGACTCAGGCATTTCCTCTTGATGGTTTTAGCTTTTATGCATTCAACAGATACTCAATTGCTTTCTGTCTTGTACCAGGAATGGTGCCATGTGTTTGAAAATCACCGGCCATCAAAACATAATCTAATGAAGATCACAAGGGCTGCCAGAAATGCAACCAATTGAGTTTCTCACAGAGCTGTGATTTAGAGGAAGAAAAATGACCCAGGAAAACATTCATTTGCTAATTATAGAAGGAAATGCTTAATTTGCTGTGGTTTATGATTAGCACATTAGCTATTAAAGTATTTTAGCCAGTGTGGTGAGTGCGCAACTCTAACCCTGGGCACTAGGGAGGCTGAAACAGGAAGATTACAGTCTGACATCTGCCTGGGGGACATAGTGACTTCTTGATTAGCCTGGGCTACAGGAGATCTTATCCCATTAAAACCAAACTTTAATGTAAACAGTATTTTGATGAATGCCAGACATTGTGGTATGGACCTGTTATCCCAGCACTCTAGAGGCCCAGGCAGTTGAATCTCTGTGAGTTTGAAGCCAGCCTGGTCTATATAGCAAGCTCCAAGACAGTCAGAGCTACAGAGAAAAAGACTGTCTCAAACAAACAAAAAAAATGATAATATAAGAATGCTTCATAGTATAATTTCAAGAAAATATTTTGGAAAAAAATGTATAAAAAAGGCTAACAAAAATTGTTGTTAATAGAAATCACTGGACAAAAGGCTTCTGGGTGATCTTTCTGCAACTGTAGCATTCTGTAATTGTAAATGATACAGTGACAAAGACACACACACACACACACACACACACACACACACACACACGTCCTCAGGAGAGGGAGAAACACAAAACTTTGAAAACCAGGTCAGGTGTTGATATCAAGATGTAAGGCATCCCTGGCTGGCTGAGTACATGAAGCCGAATCTAAAATACCAGTCTGGAATGGCACCGGGACCTGGCACAGACACTGAACAACTGGATTATCCGAAGCAGAAGGCATAGCCAGAGAGAAGCGGTGCTCCTCAGACTCCCAGAGTCCCCAGGAGAGGATCAGATCCTTCCCAGGAATCACTGTAAGCCAGGTTTCTTCCTTATTATCATACAGATGCAAGAGCAGCTCATGGATTTCCTCAGAGGCCACATAAGGCCAAACACTGGTTATACCATAAGTATACTGAAATGAAAGTTAAAATCGATTTTTTGTTTTTAAAACATTTATTGAGGGGGTGGGGAAGCAGCGGACAGTGTGGGACCTGGGGACTGAACCCAGGGACTGAACCCAGGGCTTGGCATCAAGCTTTCTTTGACTACTGAATCATCTTGCCAGCCCAAAAGTTAAAATTTAACCTCATTATGAATGCTTTCAAAAGATACACTATTACCGATGAAATGTACACAACTGAAATCTAACAGTATTTTGTCGAAATCAAATTTGTCAAAATCAAATTCAGCAATTAACAAAAATGCATTTGGGCTGGAGAGATGGCTCAGAGGTTAAGAGCACCGACTGCTCTTCCAGAGGTCCTGAGTTCAATTCCCAGCAACCACATGGTGGCTCACAACCATCCGTTATGAGATCTGGTGCCCTCTTCTGGTGTGCAGATATACATGGAAGCAGAATGTTGTATACATAATAAATAAATAAAATCTTTTAAAAAATGCATTTATAATTCACCAGAATAGCAAATTTTGTGATTTTTTTTTTCTTTCTGAAAAGGGTAACACATGCTGACCGGCAAACTGTTCACAGAATTCTCCAGTCACACACTCCATAAAAACTCTTGAATGTATACTACTTTTAAGGTACCTGAAAATGTAGTCAATGCAGTGTTACTTCCGTTAGTTGCTGCTCCTGCACGGCGAAACTGTTGGACAATGGCATTCAACTCAGAAGAGCGCTGAGATATCCTATGTTCAGCTATTCGAAGGCGTTCTTTTAAAGCAAGAAATTCTTGTTGATAAGCAATTAGTTTTTCTAGAAGCAAACAAAAAAATCATTAGTATGATTTGTCTTTTAGTATATGTCTTTAGAAATACTAATAACATACTTCTACAGTCTAAGTAGGCTAGGCACGAACCCTGGAGGACAACCTACTACTGCCATTTACTAACCCATATCATTTCTAACCATGCTCTAAAAATGCTTGTCCTTCTACCCACAGATAAGTAGAGTTCTCACTCCTCATCAAAGAAGCTTTTTTGTCAACAGAAGGAAAACTATTACAGATCCACAACTCATCAAAATGCAAATGACCACGTGGCCTAGCTCCAACTGATAGAACTACAATTCAACATCTAAGGCTCAAGAAAAAATCACAGAAGGGGGCTGGGAGGGGGGTCAGAACTATCCTAAGGGCCAGAGGATCAGAGAGCCTGCTGCCAATGTGTTCTAGACATGACAAGGAGGCTTGCACCCATGAAATCTCAACAATAAGGTTGTCTAAATGAGACCTAGATAGAGAAACCACCAGTTAACATGTCAGTGTGTATGGGAGAGATTTTTGCAAGGCCCCACACCCCTAGATACCTAACTATATAGGCAGTCAATGGCTAGTGAGGGAGAGAGAATCAGTTTTCTGCAGGGATGAGCGCCATGATAGGTTAGCCAATCCCAAATGGTCAGCCCTAAGTACATGTAAGTAGGAGTGCATGTACTCCTTGTGCTCACACGGAAACACTAGGGGAACCAGGAATGTTAAACACACAGGGCTAGCTCTTCAAAGCGAGAGATATATAACCTGTTTTCAGCCCAGAAGCTTCGAGCAGATGTGGTTAATTGTCAGAAGCCAGCCTTGGTTAGATCCAAAGTCCTTATTTACACCAGCCTGGTGACCCCTTAGGTTCCTGGACCTGGCCTACGAAGCAATTAACACCTATTCCTTCCCCCACTTCCTTAGGTTAGTGCTTGAGATAAACGGGAGATTCCGGATACCTGCCCTGGCCTGAGAGCAATTAACACTCATTCCTCCCCCCCCCCACCTCCTCTTTCTCTGCTTCCTCCTTTCTCTATAAAAACCCCTTGTAATAATCAATAAATGGAGACCTTGACAAAAGAAAAACCATGCTTGGTCTTGCTTCTCTTTTCCACCCATTATTTTCAGGCTTGATCTACCTTGGACTCACCGGAGCCCCGAGGGACGGGGCAGGTGGCGCCCAAACATGCGGTTCGAGGTACGGATTGGATTCTTCCCCGAACGGAGACCCCCCCACCCAAGGAAACCTCAGTAGTGCACACGGACTAGGAAGTTCTGCTCTCCGGATTGCGAAGGACTCTGGTCTGGGAAAAGTTCTCACCGCTCATGAGTGACTGATTCCCTGGTAAGTCCCCCCTCATTCCGTTCGATAATAATGGGCCAAAAATTGTCTAAGGAAGTCAAATTCATTAGGGATTTTAAGACTTCTTTTCGGGAAAGAGGAGTTTGAGTAAAATGTAACTTGAGTCAGTTTTTCACCTTTTTGTCAAGAACATGTCCATAGGTCATTTTAGAAAGCCCGGACATTCATCCCCTAACTTGGAAAAAGGTCAGAGAAGGACCTTAATATATTGCTCATAGAAAAGGGACCTGAGGCAGTTCCATCACAGACTTTTAGTTACGGGCCTTGAGCCTCATTCCCCTAAAAACCTTGAAAATTACCCTGTCTTTAGTTCAAACCCCAAACCAGAAACAGATAGTAGAAGTCTAGACTGCTCAAGTACAGGAGATTTTTAGAGTTTAAAAGTTTTAAAAGGATCCTTCCTGCTTACAAAAGCCACCACCATGATGCAGCATTTCGAGTTGTGCAGGGGCTTGGGAAGACATAAATGCGGCCTCAAATACACGAAGGCCCTGGGAGATATCTAGGAATGTAATGGACAACAGAAAACTCCGCACCTACTAAGGGGCAGCTGGATAGTAAAGAATATACAGGACCAATGATCAACAGGGAGAGAGAGTTAATAAGTACCTAGATGGAGTGAGCCTTCACCTCCTTCCTTCATTTTAAACTGGAAATACAGAAAGGCAAATACTCAATGGTAAAATTCAACAAGAGCTAAGAGAATCAGAAATTTTAGCGAAATTGCTTACAGGAGATAAAAAATTTACATGTTTCCTTGGATCAGAGAGAGTGGCTCAGGGGAACATAGCAGGATACATGTGCCAATACCATTCAACCAGCTCTAGGAACTAAAAATGGCTTGTGTCCAGTATGGACCAACAGCAATTTTTACCCAGAGGCTGATAGGGAATATTGCTGTAGAAGCCTCACCCCTAGGAAATTG